CTGATCTTCATGTCACATTTGAGATAATGACAGATTATCATTAGACCTGTTTGTGTCAGGAACTGATCAAGTGAGTCCCAAACTGAGTGGAATCCCGTAGACTAAGTTTATCATTATACCTGTTTGTATAACAGATATCTGTGGCTAAGTTTAAATGAAGATATCCCAATAAAGAGGGCCTTAAGAATTTTTAAAGTACATTCGAAGTTCCCAGGGATTCGAGTTACAAACAGGCTTGACCAAATGCCTGTCTCATTAAGGGCAGAAGGAGACTGTGGAGCTCCCTCAGACCACCGTTAGCCTTTGGTGCAGTGAGGATTTCAATGAAGATGTCAGTAACATTACTCAGTAGACTTTTTGCCTGAACAGGGACTTGAACCCTGGACCATCAGATTAAAAGTCTGATGCTCTAACGACTGAGCTATCCAGGCTTAGAGAAGCCCACCTCCTTGAGTGGACTGAGTTGAATCCCGAAGACTCGTGGCTGTGCCTGTTGCTGTGGTCCTGGATCATGTGTCCTGGATGGATCTCCTCGTGGATTCATCTTCTTATGATAGACACATGCATTTCCAAACATTTCGACTAGCTATGTTGTAAATGTATTATCTTTTCAATTTACACACGGCATCTATTGCACGTCTGTCCGTCCTGGGAGAGGGATCCCTCCTCTGTTGCTCTCCCTGAGGTTTCTCCCATTTTTCCCCTTTAAACTGTGGGTTTTCTCCGGAAGTTTTTCCTTGTATGATGTGAGGGTCTAAGGACAGAGGGTGTCGTATTGCCATACTGATATTCTGTACACACTGTGAAGTCCACTGAGACAAATGTAACATTTGTGATATTGGGCTATATAAATAAACATTGATTGATTGATTGATTGATTGATTGACACAGTTCATCATTAGACTGTTTGTGTAAAGACATCTGTGCCTACATTTAAATGAAGGTGTCTCAGTAGAGGGGGCCTTAAGAACTTTTAAATAATGTGGATATAGATGCCTGTCTCATTAAGGGCAGAAGGAGACTGCGGAGCTCACTCAGACGACCATTAGCCTTTGGTGAAGGGAGGATTTCAATGAAGACTTCAGTCTCTTTACACAATAGACTTTTCACCTGAACAGGGACTTGAACCCTGGACCCTCAGATTAAAAGTCTGATGCCTACCGTCTGAGCTATCCAGGCTTCGAGAAGACCACCTCCTTGAGGAACTGATCAAGTGAGGTCCAACCGGATTGGAATCCCGAAGACCCTGATTTTCATGTAGCATTTGAGATAATGACAGATTATCATTCGACCTGTTTGTGTCAGGAACTGATCAAGTGAGTCCCAAACTGAGTGGAATCCAGAAGACTAAGTTTATCATTATACCTGTTTGTATAAGAGATATCTGCGGCTAAATTTAAATGAAGATATCCCAATAAAGAGGGCCCTAAGAACTTTTAAAGTAACGTGGAAGTTTGCAGGGATTCAAGTTACAAACAGGCTTGACCAAATGCCTGTCTCATTAAGGGCAGAAGGAGACTGTGGAGCTCCCTCAGACCAACTTTAGCCTTTGGTGAAGGGAGGATTTCAATGAAGACTTCAGTCTCTTTACACAATAGACTTTTTGCCTGAACAGGGACTTGAACCCTGGACCCTCAGATTAAAAGTCTGATGCTCTACCGACTGAGCTATCCAGGCTTCGAGGAGACCACTTCCTTGAGTGGACTGAGTGGAATCCCGAAGACTCAGTTCATCATTAGACCTGTTTGTGTGAAGACATCTGTGGCTACATTTAAACGAAGGTGTCCCAATGCCTTGTGACAGATTATCATTCGACCGGTTTGTGTCAGGAACTGATCATGTGAGTGAGTCCCAAACTGAGTGGAATTCCGAAGACTACGTTTATCATTATACCTGTTTGTATAAGAGATATCTGTCGCTAAGTTTAAATGAAGATATCCCAATAAAGAGGGCCCTAAGAACTTTTAAAGTAATTAGGAAGTTCCCAGGGATTCGAGTTATAAACAGGCTTGAGCTAAACGAAGGGAAAAGTCACAGAAGAAAGTTTTTAGCCTGCAATACTAGAGCAAGGTCAAGTGCAGACACTGGAAGAATACAAAGAGGTAGTCAGAACAGGACATCGCTCCGGCCTTGAGTTGTATGGGAGCCTCGCTCCCACGCATATCTAGGAAGCAGCATTATGAAGGTTTTCCACTATATCTGTAGAAACGTTAGCGAAAACAAATTACTAGGATAGAGACAGAGTAGGGAGGGACAGAGTAGGGAGGGACTTCGCCGGCCGGCCGAATGTTGATCGGAGGATTGTGTTGCCAAGAGACGAGAACCAAGTCCAAACCACGGTTTCTCTTCATCTAGTCTTGACCAATCATAAACGTATGGGCAACGCCCTGGCCCCTGTGTAATAAAATGTATTGTTGCGCGAGGTTCGGGGCGCTTTCCGGAAATAGACTGACAGATTACAGCTCTGCTGCCTGTGATTTCTGTGACCGGACGTAGTCCTTGGCCAAGTGATTATATGTAATTTGCTCTCTTATTATAAATAGTTAATAGAAGTTGTCTGTCTTTCCTGGAATTTTGAACATAACACACGGTATGGTGTGTAGAAACCAGGCGTAGCATAGTATGTCGTTAAAAATGACAGAAAAGTCATAATACAGAATGTTGAAAATAATGACAGAAAATTCATAATATAGCATGTCGAAAAAATGCAAAAAATGCAACAAAAAAAAACATGGTATTTTATATCGAAATAAGGCACGGTATGGTGTGTAGAGGCGTAGTATAGCATGTCATTAAAAATGACAGAAAAGTCATAATATAGCATTTAAAAAAAATTACAAAAAAGTCATAGTTTAGCATGTCCAAAAAATGCAAAAAATGCCTCAACTGAGCCAAAAATGAGGCGCAATTAGTGTGGCGTGGCACGGTTTCGCCGCTGCGAGGCTCCCCCCCCGTCGACGCTCGCAAAACAGAGGGCCTCATCATATAACTTTGCGTGGGGCCTCATGTTTAGGGTTGGGTATCGTTTGAATTTCCACGATTCCGATTCCGATTCTGCTTTTCGATTCCGGTTCTTAACGGTTCTCAATTCCGATTCTTTGAGGGGCAGGGTAAAAAAATGATACATGCTTCTTCCACCAAAAAAATTACATTTATTCGAGAAACTTTGACACAGGTTAGTTTACAGTAATATTCACATTAATCAGTCTGTTTATATTCACTGCTATGTAACTGTAACCTGAGAACCACTGAAGCTACAAGAGTGCAACAGTCCAACTTTTAAAGGAAACCCATTTAAAAACAGTTCTTGTTGAGAAAAACAAGCATATCTGCCTTCTCAGGCATACCGGGAAGAAATGTTTGAACATTTTAAAGTAAAATGCTTCAATCTGGTGCACTTTAAGCAGGATTACGAGAGACTAGATCTAGAGGGTACAACTCTAAACACCCATATGAAAAAGATCGGTTTACATTTTAATAATTAAATAAGTATGTGAACATAACCAATAACCCATAGCCAATAACAAATACATGTAACGTATTTTAGTTTTGTTGTTCATTCATATCTTATTTTACTATTTTATTAATGCATATTTTTTTATCTCTCCAGTTTAAAACGATATGTCTGGTTTACTGTCCTATAGTATACATAGGAGTGCCTTGGAAATATGTGTTTACATAAATTGTGATCAAACCGTTTGAGACCCACTGAGATAACTTAGACTAAAGTGAACTATCTAAACACTCAGAGTCCTTTACCTCACTGAGCTGTAGTTATCAGACTGAGTGGCTGATAACTATACAGCTCAGTGAGGTAAAGGACTCTGAGTGTTTTTCCTCCCAGAGCTGTCAGCGCAGCGCCTCCACAGATCTGGGGCCCTAGGCGAACATCTATAACGCCAGTGCGACGGGCCGGCCCTGGTCTCAGGTTACGCTGTAGGAAGTGTAGGTACAACCATAGATATATATATAAAGTAAACACGTGTTTATATATATATCTATGGGTACAACGCTACATTTCCCACCCCTTCGCAGTCATACAGTAGCCAGTAGGCTACGGAGAGCGGCGAGAAACATTTCCTCAGGCATCGAAAAGCGGAACCGAAATTCACATTTCTAAATCATGCCGTTGGAATCGAAATGTTGGAACCGGTTCCGAACCGGAACCGGTTCTCGGTACCCAACCCTACTCATGTTGGCCAGGGACGGCCCTGTGTAAACACGTTTATTTCTGCTGTAAAGGTGGGCATTTTAACATTGGGGTCTATGGAAATTGCTCCGTTCTGCAGCCAGCCTCAAGCAGCCTCTCGATTTTCAGCAGCTTTTTGGCCCTCTGGTCTCACTGACCTGCAGGAGATTACAATTTGCTAAAATATTCTGCAGCCTCTAGACAAGCAGAGACGAGCAGAGGGATACTGAGTATCACTTATTTCTAACTCCATTTGTCATACATTTTTTTATTTAAGTGATCCATTCCCGTGAGTGAAATGCATTTCACACAACTCCCGCCCAGTAACACCGTTAAGACGTTATAATAATTAAAAAACATATGCATTACAAATCCCTTATCCCTAATGGAAACACGTGCTGATGAGAAAAAATGTCTATTCATGTCATTAAAAAAAGATATATCTATATATATATTATATAATAATAATAATAATAATAACTATAAACAGTACAATATATTAAGAAAAGGTAAATTCATATTATGATGTTTTAATAAATACAGCTTGTTGGATGAGAGACATAATCAACATGTTGAAGGAAAATATTTTCAGCAGTTTTATTTTTTTTCTGTAATATCGTCATGATACAGTGGTTTTAATTATTTAGGCACTTTGAGAGATAAAGTTACTTTTGAAAATTGAAGAGGGTGGAATCAGGGCCGGCAAACCGCCCTCTGATTGGCTGCAGATAATGAGGATTGGCTATGATAATGAGGAGGGCGTGGCGTGGGGCCGATCCGCGGTGATGCTCAGACGCCTCATTGTGTCGTCTGGAGCCTGAGCGGACACTGTTTCTGTCTGTCCGTCCAGGACTGTCTCTCTGTCTCGCTGTGGATTTATAACGGAGCGGTGCCGGAAGATGCTTTATTCCCGTTTTGTCCCGTCTTTGTGGAAATAGCCGGAGCTGTTGTGGATGCATGTGTGTTCGGGCTGCACATCCTGTCTGGTGTTCTGGAGGAGCAGCAGAGCCACAAAGGTGAGTGTGTTCTTCTGCCGTTTAATGCAGGAAACCCCAAGTGTCTGCTACTCGCAGTTTGACTGTGTGTGCTCCCGGTGTTGACTGTGTGCGCATGCAGCTCCTCCCGGTGATGACTGTGTGCGTGTGCAGCTCCTCCCGTTGATGACTTTGTGTGCGCGTGCAGCTCCTCCCGATGATGACTGTGTGTGCGCGTGCTTGCAGTTTAATGTACGCCCGTGCGTCCACGAAGTGTGTGCGTGTGAATGGGTTAAGATCATAGAGGTTAAGATGCATCGAGCATCATCTCTGTTTGATGATTGTGCTTTTTGTCATGCGTCATGGGACGCAGGTCTGTTTGACCGCTCTGATTGATGGCTGTCAATCACCCGGTCATCAGCACGCGCAGCAACAACAACAAACTGCCGAAGTGTGTGTGTGTGTGTGAGGCTTCATTAACTCCAGTCACCTTCCTCCCTTCATCCTATGCTCGAGCTTTCTGAATGGGATGACGGGGGTCTGCAGAGGGATCAGGGTCTGTAGAGGGATCAGGGTCTGCAGAGGGATCAGGGTCTGCAGAGGGATCAGGGTCTGCAGAGGGATCAGGGTCTGTAGAGGGATCAGGGTCTGCAGAGGGATCAGGGTCTGCAGAGGGATCAGGGTCTGCAGAGGGATCAGGGTCTGCAGAGGGATCAGGGTCTGCAGAGGGATCAGGGTCTGCAGAGGGATCAGGGTCTGCAGAGGGATCAGGGTCTGCAGAGGGATCAGGGTCTGCAGAGGGATCAGGGTCTGCAGACACAGAATGAGCCCTCTAAATATCCTAAGCTTCAGAAAAGAGGCATTTCCTATTTGAAATGGAAGTTGATATGGATTGTTCAACAAGTCGAGGTTTCCGGTTAGTCAATCCTGATCCTTCAAATTCAGCATTTGGGTTTATCCAGTATTTGGGTTACACAATTTGTGTTTTACTTGTTAACCTGTTTTTTTTGTTGATTTTTTTGATTTTGTCCTGTCACAGTCCTTTTTTTTATTTTATTTTGTGTTTTGTTTCATTTTTTTGTTTGTTTTGTCTTTGTTTTTTATCCTGTTGGACTCGAATCACATTGTTGTCATCCTAATTTGTTTGCCAACTGCTATTGTGCTGTCTGTCTGGCTGTTTGTTTATAAAAAACAAAAATAAAAAGTACAAAATAAATAAAAACCTGTTAAGCCCGGCAGCTGCATGCAGGCTTCTTCTTTTTTTCATGAAACTGTGTCTCAGGGCTTCTTAACATTTAACAACCTATTAATGTGTCATATCCACTTAACGGGAAGAAACTCAGCTAACTGACGATATGAAATTTTTTTACCGAAACAAAACACAAGTCTCACAAGAAGCGTCTAAATGAGCCCTGAGCGTAAAAATGCTAACGCACTTAGCACAGAACTCCCGGTAGAAATATTTTATTACTTATCGGATCTGCACAAACAAGATATCAGTGCCACCAAAACTCGCGGCAGCTCAGGCAAACGCAGACAACACACAACGTAGCTTTACGGAGCAAAAACGGTAAATAGTCTTACCTTTGCTGTTTTTCTGATCAAAAGTGGTCTTCAATGTCATTAAAACGATAAAAACGCTGCTGAAGGTTAATCCATTAATCCAATGTGTCTGTGTCACTTTCAAATGATTACTGATAATCCATCATCATATTTATGTCAATAACGGAGTTTTCATAAATAGCTGCTATGATAGCTACGAGAGTGTATCACAGCTTCGCATCACTCATTCACCAATGGGTAATGTTTAGATGGATTTGAGGAACTTCCCCTCGATTCTATTGGCTCTAATGGTTAAAAAGAGATGTCAATCATCAAAATCGACCGATGGGTTCCAGAGATATGGAAAATGCACCCAAATGACCCCAGAAGTGTTTTGTTTTTTCTAAATCTCTCTAAAAAGGTCACATTTAACTTGTTTTGCATCAATCTTGATACAGGGTACTTATAATATGTTATAGTTTGGATTCCTAAAGCTTTTAGTCTACTAACCCATCATTCAAGGGTGGTTTTCACTATAGGTAATGTTTTTATTTTAGACGGACACTATAATTGACATTGTTTTACTATGTTCAATCTGAATTTACTTTAAAATAACAAAATTCTATATTGATTCTGACTTTTCTACATCCAACTCACAGGTTTATCATTGCTTTGAGAAAAAAGATGATTAATTTAACCCTTTTAGAAGTGAAGGTAATAGTCATTTGTTCTGGGAATGTCATTTTCGAGCCTGAGACCTGAAAAACAGGCTCAGGCCTGAACAGGTTAACACAGTTGGGAGATTGTTACTGCTGGTGTACTCGTGAGTAGGGCTTTGTTCATTTTTGATTAATTTGGTATTTCTGCAGAGGTGGAAGAAGTACTCAGATCTAGTACTTAAGTAAAGTAGAAGTACCAGAGTGTAGGAATACTCTGTTACAAGTAAAAGTCCTGCATTCAAAATGTTACTCGAGTAATTTTGCAGAAAAGTATTATCATCAAAATATAGTGAAAGTAGCAAAAGTAAAAGTATTCAGTCATGTGCGCGTTTGTGTGTGTTGGAGGAGGGGCTCTGCAAGGAAGTGGCAGATTTTTCCCGGCTGTGTATTTTCAAATTCTAGCACACTCGAGCTGGTTTCTCCAAAATTACCTACCCCACCTTTAAGAGTACTTGAGTAAGTGAAATGACTTTACACCACAGTTACTTTACAACACTATTTCTGATCAGTCAACCATTCATGGTTGACTGATCAGTGTATGTATACACGGCAAAAAAGCTAAAGTTTTAAATTGCTCTTCAAAGTTCCTAAAGTCCAAATGATGCCTCCAGGTTGCTTATTTTGTATGACCTGGGGCCTCATTTATAAAGCCTTGCGTAGGATTGGCGTGGGAAGGTTGCTTACATAGGACAAAGCAAATAAATACGCACAGACATTTCGATTCATAAAAGACTGCGTACCGGCGCAGGACTTGCGTACGGCACATCCTACGCCGGTTTCCCTTTTTATAAATCACAATCGACTCGAAATGCGGCGCAGCTTTTGCGGGCTTCACGTAACGCCCACATTCATTCATTTATTCTGACTGACTGCACGAAGAAGATCGCAGGAAATGACGACAGAACAGCTAAAAAAGACATCTCACACCGTGTCAGATTTTGCTTATTTTGGGGAGGTGGAGATAAATCATATTGTTTGGTGGATGCCGTTTGAACCAGAGTAGCAGCATGGAGGTCGGATCGTCACCAAAATAAATAAATAAATGGTCCGAAAAAGGTTCATGACAAAAAGAATACACATAGCCTTCCTCAGGCAGTGTGTCAGTGTGTTTGTGCCGGGGACAGGAGACCCCCCCTTGATGAGAAACTGTAAAAAATGATCGGGGAATCCCCCCGGTGTGGAGTCATGACGACTGGATCTGAATTATTTGTTTGTATTTGGTGGTTTGTGTTCCAGCTGTCGATCAGCAACTATATATCCATAATCTACCAGTTAAAGGAAATACAACTAATGTGTTGTGTTATATCAGCTGTACAATTTACCACATATGGTGTTCTTAGTTTCCATACCTCCTGTGTTTTACGAGCGACTTATCAAGTCTTGGCAAACGGCATAAAACACGATTAAACATGATAGTATATAAAACCATGCTCGTATCTACAACCTATAGAAATGCAAAACGGCCTCAGTTTAAACGTAATCCTGTCCTCCTGCTTACCGCATCATTTGTGACCTGCTCTATCGAAATCAGTCGCATTGACCCGAAGACACATTTTGAGTTGTATACACTGTTGGAAACAGTAGCGTGGCGTGGGAAAAAAATTAGGGGAAGCCAATAATACGTCCTTTCTTTTGAGTCGGGGGTGTGGTGGTCAATATAATAACGTAACCAGATGAGTGATTACAGCACCCGGTATCATTTTACACACATTTGTATCATACAGATGCAGGACTTACACACGCCTGTTATCTAACCGACAGGTCCGCACGCACTCTCCAGCCCAAACTCTAATAAGCATTCATTCACAAACTAAATCAGGAGACCTTTAACGTTTTACGTCCGATTCGCTCCTTTTTTCCTCGCTGTACACAGCTCCAGTTTGGGCATTGGCCTGTCATCAGATTGTATTTGTTGTTGCTGCTGTAGCGGAAGTTTAGTACAATTATTTTTGATGAAATACTCCAAATCTCCACCCTCCATAATTGCACTTGCTTCAGTTGCTTGCTACTTTCTAACGGCGGTGAGAGTGGTGCAGTGGCGCTATCTATCTTCTATCGATTAGATTTATGATTCGAAAATTATAAAAGTAGGGCAGACATGTGGATATTATCCGACTGAACACAACGTGCATTTATCTAACAGGTTCGTTTTCCACTGACCTTATTTCGAGCTATTTTCCAAAATCCTATGGAGAAATCCCATTGCTTTTTTGTCGAGGGAAACCGAGAGCAGCTTACTTCCGGATTTTAGGATGCGTCACTGCAACACTAAGTTGAGACGATTTGATTGGATTGTGAGGCAAGGGAAGCCAGCCGCCTCTGGCTTCCCTTGGCATGGCCCTGACCAATCACAGGTTGGCAGGGGCATCACGTGAGCCTCATCTGATTGGTCAATCCCTCCATTTTTTTTCACCAAGGGAAGCCAGATTCGGCTGGCCTCCTCTCGCAACAGAGAGTGCCATCTACTGTTTCACCATAACATCTAGAGGGCAGGGTTTCCGTTAGCCGGTAATTACCGGTTTTTAGCTGGTAAAATGTATTAAAAACCGGTAAATTCAAAACCTCCCGGTCAAAATGTCTGGTAATAATTATGGATGCTCCGATAGATCGGCCACCGGTCATTATCGGCCGATATTCACTCTTAATAGTTTGATCGGTGCTCTCTATAAAGGCCGATCAGGAGAGCTGGATCTGATCGATATGGACATAAACGCGAGTGAAGTATAACCGGACACGAGAGAGAGAGATCAGATCAGCTGCTGAGTCTGATGGAGACACGCA